GGCTGGTCCAGGCACTAAGGGGGGCTGGTCCAGGCACTGGAGGAGCTGGTACAAGTAGTGGGGGGGCTGGTCTAAGCACTGCGTGGGGAGCTGATTCAGGTACTGGATTGGGGGGGCTGGCTGGTCCAGTACAGGGGGTGCTGGTTCAGACACTGGGGGACTGGTCCGGGCACTGGTTGGGGGGCTGCTCCAGGCACTGGGGGGATGGGTCCGAGCACTGGGCAGGGGCTGCTCCAGGCACTGCGGTAGCTGGTTCAGGTCCTAGGGGGGCTGATCTAAGCATTAGGGAGCCTGGTCCAGGTACCGGGGGAGCTGGTCTAGGCACTGGGGGAGCTGGTTCAGGTCCCAGGAGGGCTAGTCTACACATGAAGGGAACTGGTCCAGGCACTGCGGGGCTGATCAAGGCACTAGGAGAGCTGGTCCAGGCACTGGGCGCGGGGGCCGTTCTAAGCACTGGAAGAGCTGTTTCAGGTTCTAGGGGCGCTGATCTAGGCATTAGGGGAGCTTGTCTAGGTACTAGAGGAGCTGGTCCAGGCACTGGGTGAGGGCTGGTCCAGGCACTGGGGGGGCTGGTCTAGGCACTAGGGGGCTGGTCCAGGCACTGGTGGGGGGGCTGGTCTAGGCACTAGGGGGCTGGTCCAGGCACTGTGGGGGTGGCTCTGCCCAGAGAAGCAGCAGAGGGGTGAACCAGGTGTGGAGACCCTCTTCTGCCCTCCCCCAGAGCCCCCAAGGTCTCTATCCCAGCAGCCTGTGGAAGGCCAGGACCCCACCTGGGAAGAGGAGACACCCAGGGCTGGCTGGGAGGACCTGGGCAAGTGACTCAACCTCTCTGTACCTCAACTTCCTCAGCTGTAAAATGGAGGTACTTTACCACCTCCTCGGAGGGATTATGGTGACGATTAACAAGCTGTATGTGTGAAACACTTAGCACATAAGAATCATTCGTAAGCCTTAGCTATGATTCTGATGATCATCTTAGGGTGCACATGCCACAGGGGCCCCAGGTCACACACAGAATTTTCCTTGGGTAGCAGGGCCCTGTGACAGCAGGAACCTGACTGGCTTATCGAGGAGGCCTGAGGTGGTGCTGCCGCCACACTCACGTCCTTCCCCAAACTGTCCCCAGTAGGGAACCGGGGGCTGGCACTCAGATGTGTTCCAGCCAGGGCAGCTGGAGACGCTACCAATTCCTTGCCAGGCCTAGGGCGCCAGGACGTCACACGAGATGGGCCCTTGTGCCAGCCTTTCTGTTTCTCAAGAATGAGCAGGCCACAGGAATGAGCTGCACCCTCTGCCAAGGAGCCCCGAAGCCCCCTACAAGCACAGTTCCCAGCCGAGTGACTCAAGAGCGGCCAGGCGAAGGTGGGCTCCTGGGCAGTGTGAGGCATGCCACGCATGCTCCACGAAGCAGCTGGCATACTGGAACCGGACGGGAACCCAAAGTGTCCCCTCTCCCCACCCAGGGATGTGCACCCCAGCCCTGGAGCGTCTGCAGCCCAGAGTGCAAGGCCAAAGAAGCAGACTTGGGGCACCTGGCACCAGGTGGTCACTGTTGGCAGCTGCACCCGCCTCCGTCCCCTTAGGGACCTTTAGCCACCACCCTGCCCACCTTAAAAGGTCTCTCAGAAGGCGACCCCTGCACTCGTCGCTGGAGTCTGACTTGTTCAGGGCACTGGACTTGAACGGTGGGCACCCTGGGGGGTGTGGGGCCCCAGGGCAGAGCCTTCCCAAGCCTTCTTTGTCCAGGCATCTGGGGGGGGAGGTCGCCCTTGGTGACAGTGGGAGGGTGCGGCGGGGCACACGGCCCACCCATCCGCGGAGAGGGGGACCGGACGGGACGGAAGGGGTCGGGGCCGGCAGCTTCACTGTGCACTGAAACCTCGGTTTCCCAGTGCCCACCGGGCACCAGCCAGCGCCCACTGACAACTTTTTTCCTTCCCACAAAATTCAAGAACAACTCGGGGGCGGGGGCGCGGCTGTCGGGGAGACCCCGGCGGCGGACGCTGTACGCGTGGCACTGTTTACGCGAGAGGCCGGGAGGCGCGGCCGGCAGGAAGATGGCGACGGCGCGGGCGGGGCGCGCGGCGGGGCGGGGGCTGCGGGCCCGGGTCCCGGCGCGGGAGGGGGCAGACCTGGGTCAGGCCGAGCGGGCGCGACCTCGGCCTGGGCTGGGCGCCCGGAGCGGCGGGGCGGGGGGTGGTACCTGTTGTTCGGGGCCTTGCGCACCAGGCCGGCCGCCTTTGTTTTCTTCCTGGCGAAGTCGCCGTCGAAGGGCAGCACCGAAGCGTAGCCGTGCTCAGCCTCTGCGGACAGACGGCGCGGTAAGCGGGCCCGCACCCCCCGCTGCCCTCCCCGCGGCTGGTGCACAAAGGGGCGCGGTACCTCGGTCCCTGCGCTCCAGGTACTCGGCCGCCTCCAGCAGGATCAGCAGGGAGTTCAGCTCCATCCTCACGCGCCCGCCGCCCGCCACGCTCCCGGGACAGCGGCGGCCTGACCGGCCCGGCCCGCTCCGGCCCGCTCCTGGTACTCCCGCTCCACCCGGCCCGCTCCTGGCGGCCCCGCTCGCCGCCCGCCCGAGCCGCCCGCGGCGCCCACTTCCCCGACTCCAGCGGACTCCAACGCGCACGGCCGCCACCCTCCGCCTCGGGCCCCGCAAATTGACACATAAGGGCGAGCGGCGGCCGGCGCAGCCAATAGAAACGGGCGCTCCGACTCCGGGGGCGGGCGCCAGGGTGGGCTGGGGCCAATGGAAGCGCGCCGAACGCCTGGGGCGGGGGCCGAGAATGTTGACAGATCCAAATCTCGGTCGGGATAGGCCGGCCGCGGTAGTAACAATTTAGAAGCCCAAGCTTAGCAACAGCACGTGGTGGCCCGGCCCCCTCGCTCGCTGACTGGCGGCAGTCGTGCATGTTAAGTAGGCACTGAGCGCCGATTGGCTCAGAGAACCTATGTAAAACAGGGATCGCGGACCAATGAGCGGTCGCAGAGCTCCGGCCAATGACAGGCGCTTGCGGCCGGACGCGTTGCTGAGAGGAAGGAACGCAGTTAGGACCGGCCTTTCCCTGCCCGGCCCGGCCTGGCCCGGCCGGCCTGCCTTGGCGAGGGCCGTTAGAGCGCGGGCGCGTCGTGAGCGCAGACCGGGGGCCGCGACGGCTCTGGGACCTGCGCGCGCGCCCCGTGGTCTGTACACACCGCGGGGAGGAACCTGTTTCCCCCAGCCAGCTGCAACCACTGGCTTCCGGGAGGACTGAGCCTCGCGGCCTCCTCGGGGTCCTGGGAGCGCTGTAAAATGAGACCTCCTCCTCGCCGGACACCCAGTGACCCTGGAACAGGCTGGGGCTTATGGAGGCGGGGAGGACGCAGACTGAGCCTAAGAGCGAGACCTCTCCCAGCGTCTCGGTGGGGTAAACTGAGGCCCAGAGCAGGAGAGGGTCTCTTTATGCTGCCCTGGGAACCCCAGGGCTGAACGGGGGCCTGGGTCTAGGCCTAGAGAAGGGGCGGAGATTTGCGGCCACTGTTGGGAGGGGCTCCCAAGAACGGAGGGCTGCGTGCTCTTTGTCGGATTCGGGACCTTCAGAGAGGCAGAAGCAGGTCCCCTCCGTCCAAGGAGGCGCTTCCCAGCAAAGAGAGTTGCCCTCCCTGGGAGGGGAGTGAGCTCCTTATCAAGCCCTTGGCTGGCAGGTGGTCTTAGTGACCCCTGACCCTCCCAGTAGGGCAAGGAGAGGTGGACCCCCTGCGCGGGGGCAGCCCCAGACTTTGGGCATGTCACGGGACTAACAGGCTGGATAGCGTGAGGTAGGTGGCTGGACTGCCCCAGAAGTTCTAAATGGGATGGGGGGTGGCGACGCACAGGCTGCCAACAGAACAAAAACTATGAAGACCCCAGCACTTTCCTCTCAGGATGCATGTAAATACACAAATTTCCTTGCATATTTCCTCAGCCCCAATTTACAGATAAGGAAACTCGGCCCCAGAGGGACTTGCTCTGGGCCTCCCAGCAGTCTCCAGCAAAATGGAGATTAGCGTTGCCACACGTGCGTCCGTCCCAGAGCTGATGACACGGGCACAGAGACCAAAGCCACTTCCTTGCCCAGCCCAGCTTGCTGAGGTCTGGCCCCGCTGTGTAATCTGTGAAGTGGGGACAGGAGCGAGAGCTCCTGCAGCCTCAGACACTGCCCCCAAGCAGCCAGCCGTAAGCGAGCATCACAGGAATCCCTCAGATAGGATCCCGCGCCCTTCCTCCTCCTGCCCTGCACGTCCCTAAAGAGAGCTCCCACCGTGGCCTGTGACGTTAGTCTGTAGGGCTGTCCCGGGCTGTGCACAGTAAAGGGGGGCCCCCCGACTCTGGGATGCAGGGAGGATCCCAAGTTCTGGGGTGAAAGCGTGGCCTGAGCAGGAGGCAGGATCCCCATCTCTGGTCGGCACTTTGCAAGCACACGCCTTCCTCGGCGGGCACCTCACCCAGTGCGAGTTCACCTTCCTGCCGAGTTCACCTTCCTGCCGTGTGGCGTGGGGTGGCCGTGCCCCCAGCCTTCCTGCCGTGTGGCGTGGGGTGGCCATGCCCCCAGCCTTCCTGCTGTGTGGCGTGGGGTGGCCGTGCCCCCAGCCTTCCTGCCGTCTGGCGTGGGGTGGCCATGCCAGAGTGGGCAGGTGTGACTGTGGAGGACTGTGTTTGAGCCCAGGATGGGGTAGTTCCCATCCTAGTTTGACCTAGGCCGGTTCGGGGACCTCCTGCCCCCACAGCCCCTTCCAGAATCAAGCACTTTCCCAGTGCCTGCCTGGGCGTTCTGTACCAGGGAATGCATGGGGGTCAGAGGGAGAGGTGGGCTCAGGCCGTGGGGCAGAGGAGGGCTGGGGGGAGGGTTGAGCCCCCAGTGAGTGCTCCTGGGCTAGACATGGGGCGGGGGGAGACAGGAAGGAAGAAGAGGACGGGCAAGAGGGGAGGATGAGGCAGGGCACGTGTCAGACAGCAAGGGTCAAGAGGACTGGCTTAAGCCGGGGCAGTGGTGGCTGAGGGCCCCTAGAGGATCCCAGAGGAAAGGGGTTGGGTGGGTGCTGGTGTGTGGGACCTGAGTCCCTTGCCACCTACAAGCCGGGTCTCGACATCCTCTGGGCTCCAGTGTTCTACCTTGGAAGACGGGGAGAAGAGACAACGTGGCAGACCTGGGGCCGGAAACTCCCCAGGTCGATGCTGTGGGCACAGGCTCCCCACGGGCTGGAGGACAACAAAGGAGCCTTTCCTGGGCCCAGGCTGGGGCAGGTGCCTCCTCCACACCCAGTTTTGCCCAGCCTTTCCCCAGACTGGGTGCCCCTTCCCCAGAGCAGGGACCTGTCCTTGTGGAAGCAGGCTAAGCCTGTGAGGAGAGGGGACAGCTCCAGCCTCCTCCCCCTAGAAGCCACCAGCTCTCTAACGTCTGACCTCCACTTAGAGCACCCCAACCACTGATTTGGGAACACTAAACCCCCCCCACAAGCTCCCAGGGGCCCCCCACCATGCAGCCCTCCCAGACCCCCATACCTGAGCTCCCTGCCCAATCTCTAAGCCCCCAGCCTGTTTGGACCCCCCTGGATGGTCCTCCCTCACTGTCCTTTTGGGGCATCTATCCCTCCCCACCCACCCCAGAAACTCCAGCTGAGGGATCTGGAAGAGGGCTCTGCAGATTCTGGCTGGAAGGCCTGAGTGGTCTCTGGTCTGCCTGCGTTTCCTGGGGTTTTTTACCCCTCTCCCCCACCTCCCACCAACCTCAGTTTTCCTAGGTATAAAACAAGAATGATGGTATCTGCCTCTTCGGGCAGTTGAGGATGGAATGAAGGATTCCCGGTCCAGAAGCTTGGGAAAGGCTGGCTTCCCCCACCCTGTGACCCCATGAGGGGCTTCAAGGCCCTAAGGAGGCCATCAGAAAGAAGCCTATAGAAGGCTGCTTCCCAGCCTCGCTCTTGCACCCTGAGCCCTGGCTCCTGTTCTCTGAACCAGGGTTCCCAACCACACCCTTGCTGAGTTGGTAACATGCCTGTGACATCTCAACATGGCATCAGGGAGCACCTCCACCTGGGTGGGAAGCTTGGCCAGGACCTTCCACCCAGAGCCTCCTTCCCCCACTGTGACACCAGGCTCACTGGGCTCTGGCCCCACCTCTGTCCTGCCTTTGGCCACCTCAGTCACTGTGGGGGTGACCGGTTCCAACAGCTCCCTGGTGTAGATCCTGGTCTATGAGACCCCAGGTCAGAGAGAGCTCAGCCCGGGGTCATCAGGCGCTGGAGAGCCATTGCTGAGCCCAGCATCTTGGCCAGCCTCCTAGCAGCCTTGCTGCCCTGGGCTGAGAGGCCTGGTTTGTGCCAGGGGCCAGCTCCTCCCAAGGCCTGAGGGAGAGTCCTGTGGAGTTCTGCCACTGGGTCCCTCCCTGGAAGCCTGCGCTGGATTCTAGTCCTGCCACAAGACCTTGGACAAGTCACTTAACCTGTCCTAGTCTCAGTTTCCCTAGCTGTAAAGGGGGATGATAGTACTCACCACTGGGGGTGATTGGAGGTAGGATGAAGATGCGTGGAAAGCCCCGGACAGCGGTGGGCTGGCACAGAGGGAAGTGACAGGAAGTATGAGCGTCACTGCCCAAACCAGCGAGTGCTTCTAACCCTCGGGGAAACGGGGGCCTAGAGAGAGGCAGGTCGCAGCCAGTCACCATAGGCCGGTTAGAGTCACGGTCAGAAGCTGGGGTGGGGCAGCGGCCACCCAGGCCAGCCAGCCCCGGCACACAAGGCCAGGCCTCCAAGCATTTGAGAGCTTTCTACAAAATGTGACACTTAAGGGGAAAAAAGTCTCCATAATACGAAAGGAAGTCAGCAAAATCAACATCAATGAAGATGTAATTGTCTACATAACTTAACATGATGTCAATATTATCTTTTAATTTAAAATAAAAAAAACGTTCATTCTACTCGTGAACAATTTGTGGGGTGAATTCTTCTCACTTTACGTTATCCCATTATGCTCGGGACAACTTTGACCACCGTAAATTAATCACTTATAGCCAAAAATGTCCGAAAACAAAACAATAAAATTACTTTCAAAACTTTTGACAGGATAAAAAAGGAGGGCTGGGGTGTGGGCACAGACTGGTGCACTTGGGGGGGGGGGTTGGGGTGCCCCCCCAAAGCTAGAGGGCCAGACATCTGAAGGCCAGAGGCCCCGCTGCCACCTCCACTCCCAGGGCGGCCCTGGCTCGGGCTGAGCTGGGGAGAGGAGGCCAGCCTGGCCTGCTGTTGGCCCAGGCCTCCCTGTTGTCAACGACGTCTTTCCTTTCAGAGGCTGGGAGGACAAGGCCTGGGGTGGATGGGCAGCTCCCCCTCCCATCAGACAATGGAGGTCTTGGGGCTCCCCCACACCCCTCTCCCAGCCCTGCCCTTGTGGGGGTCTCTGGGCTGGAGCTTCGTGCCTAGGGATGAAAGGGCCTTCCTGGCCAACTCCCCCGTCTCCTCCAGGAAGCCTCCCAGGCACCTGCAGGTCACTTGGGCACAGGCCTCCTCTGCTCTTTGCTGGATGCCCCGAGGGCCTGAGCCTACCCCCCATCCATGCCCCAACTCCC